TATTTTCACAGCAACTGGCAACTAACAGTTCAATCCATTTGAAGAATGACAAAGTAACGGCTTTATTTGGATGCCTTTTTGATTAAATAATGTATTAACCTTGATGAAGCCTTCCAAAAAGGGATTAGTGTATTCAAGTGCATAAACTGATTATGAGACAAATATAACAGTGATAAGATGCTGGTTCAAAATTTTTGAATCTGATGAGTATAACAATTTAGCTGTTAGGATGGAGTTTGTTCTTAAAGCTTAAATCTCAACAGGAAGTGTCCACCCATGAAACAAAAAAAAACATCTTTCAGATCAGGTATACAGTAGCTGAGAGTCTGGAAAGGTCAGTTAAATCACTAAATCAAGTAGATCAAAATATCCTACATAATTACTGTAATGCTAGAAATAATTCAAAATTAATTAATCTGAAAGGAGAGAAGAATCAGAATGAAATGCATCAGAGGGAAAATTCAGAAAGTAAATACAGTTTTATGTCCTGATGATATCCATTTTGACCAAAACTCACTGACCCACTTTGCTTTATTCGTCTATACTGTAATAATACATTTTGCATACCTACTGTAAATCCTTTCCATTAAGTTATTTGCTTAATGGATGTATAAATAAGTCTACTACAATTATATTCTTTAAGGGTCAAGTCCTACCCACTTCTGAGCCCACTACTGTAATTTCTACCATGCTGGATGATAGATAACACAGCAGACCTCAGAAACAGTTGAAACATGGTCGATTCTGCACTGTTGACATAATCAACCCATGTTATAACCAGACTGGCAAACCCTTTTCCAATCCTACCAAGTCCAGGAATTGGTGTCGCCCTCCCCCCTCCAAAAAACCCCGCTGTATTCTTTAATTGTTCACGTTTCAAACCATAATTCATATAATTGGCAAAGCAAGATTTATACGGGCTTTATTTTAAGGACCAAATCTTGGGACTCCTACAGAGATGTTACAACTTAACATGCTGCATGAAAACAATCGTCTAAAAGCATCTATTAAAATTTATGTCGATTCGACATGAAACAATATAGTTACCCAAGTAGTTACAGTATGTCAGTGCTTGGAAGTTATTCCAGGCTGTTCTGTCCCTGCTGCCCTGAATATTCAAGAACTTCGCTAATCAATCTAGCAGGAGGTGGTGCACAAGAAGTGTTTTGCTTTGCCTGGCTCTCTGCTAGTGAGCCCCGAGCACCCTCGACTACACCGGTACGGGGGGAAGGAGGGAATGTCACAGCCGGGCGCGACCAGAGGCGACGAGCGCGGTCTCGCACGGGGCTAATGCTCCACGTGCTGGCTGTTGCTGCACCTCGAAATGTGACAATGGAAAAGTGAAACGAGCCCGATCTGCTTGTTTGCGTTTATTTGAAAGCAGCATCCGAAGACGGGACTTGGGCTAAGTCTCCTTAGTGGCAAACCTTCGCTAGCTACCGGGTGAAGTTCCCACCACCCTCAGCGCTGCAAACTACCCCCC